GGGGAGATATGGGGAGATATGGGGAGATATGGCTCATGTTTGCCGACGAGGGGCAGTCGCTGCACCAGGCGCTCTACACTTCCCCATATCTCCCCATATCTCCGCATATCTCCCCATATCTCCCCGTATCTCCCCGTATCTCGAGGGGCAGTCGCTGCACCAGGCGCTCTACACCTCCCTCGAGGCGGAGGGCCACGTGCTGATGCGGCCGTCCCTTCTCTGGCTGAGGCTGCGCCGCGAGCCGGCCGGCCAGCAGCTGCTGCGGCAGGTGGTGCGGCAGGGTGCCCCCCTAATGAGTCAGCTACGAGTCACTCTCTCATCGATAGCAGCTGCTGCGGCAGGTGGTGCGGGAGGCAGTGGCGGCGGTGGCGGCGCTGCACGCCTCAAACATCACCCACCGCGACCTCAAGCCCGCCAACCTGATCGTCGACCTCTCGCGCTCGCCTCTGCTCCGGCCCGCAGCCTGTTGGCTGTATGTTGTATGGCGGTCTACTCAATGGTGTCTCCTTCCATTTCAGGCTCGCAGACTTTGGCTCGGCTGTCGACGACGTGACCCTCGCGCCGCTGCACGGCCTCTACCCGCGCGGCCCGTCGACTGCCGAGGAGACAGCCGGGTACCAGCCCCCCGAGGCGCGAGATATGGGGAGATATGGGGAGATGTGGGGAGATGTGGGGAGATGTGGGGAGATGTGGGGAGATGTGGGGAGATGTGGGTACCAGCCTCCTGAGGCGACAGTTCCTAGACACTTCCTAGACACTTCCTAGACACTTCCTAGATCCAGCCGGGTACCAGCCCCCCGAGGCGCTCTACGCCTGTATCTCCCCATATCTCCCCACATCTCCCCGTTCTCGAGGGTACCAGCCCCAGAGGCGTCGCTCGCCTCTCGAGCTCTCCCACCTGCTCGCCGACCTATGCACCAATGACTCACTCATCACTCGTCAGGCGGCGCTCGGCGGCCTTCCCTTCGACACGGCAAGACCCGCGCAGCTGCGGCCTGTGTGAAAGACTACTCAATGGTTCCGAAGGATGAGCTCATACCTCGTTAGGCGGACCCGCGCAGCTACGACCTGTGGTCGCTCGGCGTGGTCGTTCTCCTAGACACTTCCTAGACACTTCCTAGACACTTCCCAGACATTTCCTAGACATTTCCTAGACATTTCCTAGACGCTCGGCGTGGTCGTTCTCCTAGACACTTCCTAGACACTTCCTAGACACTTCCCAGACATTTCCTAGACATTTCCTAGACATTTCCTAGACGCTCGGCGTGGTCGTTCTCCTAGACACTTCCTAGACACTTCCTAGACACTTCCCAGACATTTCCTAGACATTTCCTAGACACTTCCTAGACGCTCGGCGTGGTCGTGCTCGAGGCTGCTGCCCGGGCCGCTCCCCGCCAACCGAGGAGTCTCACCACTCCTCCGCCACCGCATAGGTCGTCCTCGAGCTGCTGCTCGGCCGGCCCGACGTCTTTGAGCCGTCGCCAAAGGGCGAGGCGCGATGGCGGGCGCAGCAAGAGCAGCGCGGGCGGCGGCGGGCGGCGGACGGCGAGGCGGCGGGCGGCGGCGACGGCCCGGACCGGTGGCCGAGAAGCGGAACACGTATTCTTGTTTTCCAACGCGCGCTCGAGAGGAGGACACGGGTTCGGCTGTGTTCGGCCGGAGCCGATTGCCGCCGTTGTATTCGTACCCCTCGTACTCACGCGGTGCTCTGAAGACACTGCGCAGTACCGCCTTCCCGCCCTGACGTGGGTGTCTTCGGACTGTAGGGCAAGTGGCGCCTCGCCCTCGCCCTCGCTGAGTACTGCATCGGCCCGCCGCCCGCACCGAGTGGCGTGGCCGCAAGCCGCGGTGGCGCGTCCGAGGGCGGCGGCGAGCCGGTCGCGAGGAGCGGCGCGGAGTGCGGCCGCGACGGCTTCTTTGCCGCCGTCCGCCGGCTCGACCCGCTGCGAGAGCGCGGGGTGCCTCTCGACGCGGAGCTGCTCGACCTCGCGCATGGGCTGCTGCGGTACGAGCCGTCGCGGCGCCTCTCCGCCGCAGAGGCGCTTCGCCACCCTGCGCTCGCAAACGCGGCGACGGCGCCGCCCGGAGAGGCGCCGAGCCACGCCGCGCGGCTGCTCGGGGTTGGGGCGTCGCCGGTGGAGGCGGCGGAGCTCGGCAGGGGAGGTCAGGGGCAGGCGGACGCCTGCGGCGATGCCGGCGGGTGAGCGACACCTGCGCGCGACAGAGTGTTGTGGACACAAAGGTTGTTCGAACGAGGCGGGTTATGTGCGCTGGGTTCTTTAAATAAATAAATAAATAAAAACGGACACCTCTCTACTGTGAGATGGGTAAAAAGGAACAGGCCCCCGCCCTTGCGATCTTTGTGCAGGGTTCTTTGTGGGTGTGGTCGGCGACTAGCCGGGGTCGTCCTCCCCGTGGGGACTAGCACTAGCCGTCTTCACATGGTCCCTCGGGTCCCTGCTGCTCCTAATCTCTTCGTACATCCTCCTGCTGATCTCCGCCAAGTCCTGTTCCCTCCCTCGTCTCGCCCTGCGCGTCTGCTCCGCCTCACCGTCTTCTGCCCTGCGTCGTCTGGCGACGGGTCCTCCATAGTCGGTCGAGGTCGCCGCCCTCCTCGTGCCTCTTCCCAACGTTCCCTCGGCGGCGGGTTTCTTTAATCAAACACGGGAGAACATTTTTCAGTGTATGACTAATGAGGTATGAGTAAAGCCGTACGGCTCTATGTAGCTCTTCTTCTCAATATGTAGCTTGAGCACTTGAGCACAGACTTGATAGGGTCGATTCCGCATGGTACGGGACCCCACGATCGTCTCGCCCTCCCTCACTGGTGTGTTCACTGGGTGGGGTCATAACAAACACGGTACAGGATCGAGGTGCACGCTGCTGAGGGACCCCAGAGGGTAGATCGAGCAGTGTCGTCCCCCCGCTCCATCATCTCCCTGGGAGACGTCGGCGGCGATGGCGGTGTGACCGATCGAGCTACAAGAGGAACTTGTTCAGCAGGATCCGGGACAGGTCTGGTGCACTACCTCACTGGGCCTGGGACCACCGAGACAGCGCCCGTCACCGTCTCGGGTTTGCGTGGGGTCGAACCACTCCGGGATGAGCAAGCTCATCGTTTTGTTCTGTGTTGTCCCTCCTGTGCGGGGGGGGGGGGGGGTCTGTGCCATTTTGGTAGGCACCCGGGCCCGGAGGGGGGGGGGGGGGGCACCCAAGGGAGTTAGAGGGGGGGGGCTCAGGCGCTCAGCCGGTAGAGAAGGTAGGCATAGCAACATGGAGACATACTTCACATGGTAACTAGGTTTTCCACTCCGCGCGAGTACTATCCTCGGATCCGACCATGTTCTCTCCCTCTGCGCGAGTTTCTCGCGCTTACTCCTCGGTAACCTCCTCCCATCCCTACCCCCCGCCCCACTCGATGACCCGCCCCTCTCCGCCCGCCCCTCTCGGTCCCCCATCTCCCCAATCACGCCCCCCTCTCCCCCCCCCCATCCACCCCCACCGCCTCCCCCTCAATCAGGTCCCTCCCGCCCCTCTTCCTCCTCCGCTCCCCGCCGCCCCCCTCCCCCTCCTCGCCCACGCCCCCCCCTTCCCCGCCACCCCCCTCCCCGTCCCGCGCCCCGAGCCCGGATATGTAGCTCTATGTAGCTCTTCATTCCTTTTTGGTCACCAAGGTAAGGAGGTTCGGCTTTAAAAGGTAAACTTCTCCACACACACAAGGTGGTGGGGTGAGGGGGGGCGGCCGACCCTCGCGTGTCCACGTCTAGAGACGACAGGAGCCCATTATTTGGTCACCTTCCATCCCCATCTAGCCCCGTACACGCCGCTTTCGTGGGGGCGCGGAAACACACGTCCTCCGGCAATGCTCTCCTTCGACTCTGTTGTACCGCGCATTGAGTCCCAGTTATTTCGTTCGCATCCATTGGACGCAGTGCGCTGAGAAGTGCCCGTGCACTCCTGTAGCGGTCAACCCATCCATACGCCGGCACGGAAAAGGCGTGCTGTTCTCTGTCCTCCTCGATGTTGACGTAAATAGCCACTAGCAACTCCATTTGCGCCACTAGAGCCGCCAACGCCTTCACTACGTCGTACCTAGTTTTTTGTCTCCCCACGCGTCGAATGCAGTCCTCCATCTGTGTCGCCATCAAGGGAAAATTTGCGTCCGAGTTCCACAGCTTGAAATACGGTGTCTCCTGCAGTGGCTGCTGTTGGCGGGTCGACCAATGCCAGCCAATAATATTATTATTGACCAGCGAGGAGCGCCGCCCGCGCCGCCACCGACGCGACCGTAGCCGCAGCCCTCCCTCTCACAGCAGCGGGCGGCGCAGCAGCGACGGCGGCAGCTAGCGCGAGCGCACGACTCGAGAGCTGACACACTTTTCGATGCGTAGCTACATCCTACATGCACGCCTGTTCACTGTCAGCTGAAATCATTAAGGACGACGCACACGTGTCAGTGATAAACGCGTGCACATGCAGCCCTCTGTGAGGAGCACTTGGAGCCGACTTGTGTTTGTGCTTGGAGGCCCACTTCGCACTTGTGCTTGGCCCACTTGGAGTGCAGTCGCGGCGGATGAAATGCTACTCAGCGGACGGCATCTCGCACACGACACGCGTAGCGACCTGTTCAATGGCCACCAGCGATGAAATGCTACACAGTACACTTTCAGTGAACTCGGGACGGCATCTCGTGCACGTAGACCCGCAGCGGCGACCCCTCCGCCGCAGACGCGACGGCATGCCCTGCTCTTCCTGCCGCAGCGGCGCCAGACGAGGCAGCGGCCTCGCCGACGACGCAGCCTCGGAGCGAAGCGGAAGGGCCGGCCGGAAGGGCTTGGCAAAACGGCCTTCTGCCTGCGTCGTCGGCGCTCACGGCAAGCGGACGCAGCCTCAAGGCTTTGGCACCTCGCAAAACGGGCCGCGCCGGCGCTCGGGGCACGCGGGGCCGTGAGCGCCCTCGTCGCAGCGCAGGGCGGCCCGCCCGCCGCGTCGGCCGACGTGAGCATCCACTTCCGCCGCCGCCGCCCGCCGCCTCGCTTCGCGCCCGCCGCCGCCTCGAAGACGGAGGTCGCGTTGAGCTCCACCGTCCGAGAGGAAGGGAGCCCAGCGGCCGGCGCGCGCCTCGGCGGGGAGGGGCGGGTCGCCCGGCCGCGAGTCGTACACGAGCGGCCACGGCTTGGCCCACTCGCGGCGCCAGCGGTCGCCGCCCGGCTGCTCGTCGAACCGGGTCCACGCGCCATCCGGCCGCCGCACCGGCAGCGCCGGTCGGCCGTCGCCCCGGCCCGTCGGGCAGCCTATGATGTACCTTCCATCCACGTAGGGTGGCTCGTAATTTGGCTCTCTCGATGTACACACTCCAAACACTCCAAGAGCGGCCGCGGCGCGCGCGCGCGCGCGCGCGCGCGCGCGCGCACGCACACTGCTCGGTACCCCCCCCGCAGCAGCGCTCTGCTGCTGGGGGGGTCGGGACCCCCCCCCCAGCAGGAGCGCTCTGCCTGTGGGGGGTGCTGGCATCTCTGTACAGACAGCAGCTGTAAGTAGCATGCGTTCCAGTGGCGAGAATTTATGGTCGGCATCAAAATCAGTGGTCTCACCGGCAGGCCCTCCTACTGCCAACCGGGAGGTGCGGGGCACGCCAGCCTCTCTTCTACGCCTCTCGTGCCTCGCGGCGCCTCTGCTTCAAGGGGGGAAGATACGGCTCTCGCAGCCCATCATACGCCGTGGCACAGCGGGGAGCACAGCGGGCTGTACAAGATATTGTTCCCTATCTTCGCATGCTCGTCGTTGGTGATATCCGCGCGAGGTCATACGCCACAGGCCAGCAATCACTCGATGATGAGACTACACTGATGTATAGGCGCGTGTGGTATTACAAGATAGACTCACATGGTCACAAAAAGTAATATATCTTTACTTTTCCAACACCCGGACGTTCCCACGGTGATGGAAGGTTCGACGCACCCCCGGACTGGGCAGAGAGGTCCCAGGAAACAAAGGCCTGGGCACTCCGCCCCGCACCCACTTGCCCTGATGCGACGGTGTATCATTCACTTTATGCCACCGTTGCATATCCCAACTGCACAGGATAGCGTGCCCCGACGAACGGCGACACATAGCGGGGGACACTGCGCCGGGGGGTATGCCTAACTTTGGTGCTTTGTGTGGGTCGCGTTCCCTTGGTAGCTGTGTGGTTGAAGCCCTCGTGCCGCTGGCTTGCCCCTTCCAGCGGCTGGCCCCTCGAGACTGTCGGTGCTTGGCGGGTGGCTGCGCCTATCACGGGCATGTAGAAACCAGGCGCACACGGGAGCGGTTCCGCTGTGCCCTTGGGACAAAAGTGGCCTCGCTTACACGCACCTTCGCAGGAGGAGTTGGTGAGGCCGCTCCTGTTCCCATAGTAGCCAGCAGGGCAGAGGTTGCACTCGGGAACGCTGAAGTCGCCAAAAAAGGAGCCCTTGCGCGGCATCCAGCTGCCCAAGCGGCAGTCCCAGTCTATCGGCGAGTTTGTCTGTATCGTCGTGTCGTCGCCAGCAGTGTTGCCGGTGAAGGAGGCGTCGCTGATCGAGGAGCGTTGGCGGAGTTCTTGCAGGTGCAGCACCGAGCCTGACCTCCCCGCTCCGTTGTCGATGAAGTCGACACCCGCGATGGAGAGGGACTCACTGAAAGTCGCGGAGACGACGCCGCCGTACTGCGGTTGCGAGGAGAGGGCGGAGTGAGGCAGCCGTGGCCCTCTCTCTCTCTGGCCCCGCTTTCGTGCGGCGCTGCTGGAGTGCGGCTAGCTCTACGCGGCGCACATTGCCAGCCGAGCAGCTCGTCACGGCCGAGCCGATGATCGAGACCACACCGCTGTTCTGAAGCGCGTTGACGACGCCGCCGTTCTGCGGTTGCGAGGAGAGAGCGGGGTGAGACAGCCGTGGCCCTCTCTATCTCTCGCCCCGCTGCCGTGCGGCGCTGCTGGAGGGAGGCTAGCTCTACGCGGCGCACATTGCCAGCCGAGCAGCTCGTCACGGCCGAGCCAATTATCGAGACCGCACCGCTGTCATACGCGTTGACCACGCCGCCCTCCTGCGGTTGCGAGAAGAGAGCGGGGTGAGGCAGCCGTGGCCCTCTCCATCTCCCGCCCCGCTGCCGTGCGGCGCTGCTGGAGTGCGGCTAGCTCTACGCGGCGCACAGCGCCAGCCGAGCAGCTCGTCAGATTCGAGCCAATTATCGAGACCGCACCGCTGTCATACGCGTTGACCACGCCGCCCTCCTGCGGTTGCGAGAAGAGAGCGGGGTGAGGCAGCCGTGGCCCTCTCCATCTCCCGCCCCGCTGCCGTGCGGCGCTGCTGGAGTGCGGCTAGCTCTACGCGGCGCACAGTGCCAGCCGAGCAGCCCGACACGGTCGAGCCGATTATCGAGACCGCACCACTGGACTCCGCGTAGACGACGCCGCCGTGCTGCGGTTGCGAGGAGAGAGCGGGGTGAGGCAGCCGTGGCCCTCTCCACCTCTCGCCCCGCTGCCGTGCTGCGCTGCTGAAGTGCGGCTAGCTCTACGCGGCGCACATAGGCAGCCGAGCAATCTCTGACCGTCGAGTCGATGATCTCGACGTCGCCTGCGCCACTCGCGAACACAGCGCCGCCCCAGCTCGCCCTCCCGTTGACGAGGGTCAGCCCCCGCAGGGTGAGGCTGCAGCCGCCCTCGAGGGAAAAGAGCCCGGTCTGTTCCTGGCCGTCGAGCGTCGCGCCCTCGCCGCTGCTCGCGACGGTCACCTTGATGTCGGAGCCGCAACTGATCTGGCTGAGAAGCTTGAAGTCCGCACCGGGCGGCAGGTAGATTGAGACGTCGGCTCGCGAAGCAGCAGCCTCCGCGATCAGGGAGCGGAGCTTAGCCTCGCTCGCCGCGGCGACAAAGTCCGGGGAGAGCGGCGGCAGAGGCGACAGAGGCGGCGGCGGCGGAGAGGACGGCGGCGGAGGGGGCAGCGACGGCGGCGACGGCGGCGACGGAGGGAAAGGGGCGACGATGAACGTTTTGCTGCCGGAGGATCCGGAGTCGAGCGTGAATGTATAGCCCGCACCCTCCCACTCGTCGCCGTTCCAGCCGTCGCCGTACGAGTCGTACATGTTGAGCGTGCACTCGCCGGGCGGCGCGGACAGGGTGCCGGAGTAGGGGGCCCCTCCACTGCCGATCAACGCGCCGCTGCACGTCAGGGTCCACGACACCTCGGACGGATAGCTGCCGCCACCCACAGTGACCTGGAAGTCGATTGGCGGCGACGGCGGAAAGGATGGCGGCGGCGGAGAGGACGGCAGTGACGGAGGCAGCGACGGCGGTGACGGAGGCAGCGACGGCGGCGGCGGCGGCAGCGACGGCGGCGACGGAGAGGACGGAGGGAGGGGGGCGAGGATGAACGTCTCGCTGCCGTAGGATCCGGAGCCGAGCGTGAACGTATAGCCCGCACCCTTCCACAAGTCGCCGTTCCAGCCGTCGCCGTACGAGTCGTACATGTCGAGCGTGCACTCGCCGAGCGGCGCGGACAGGGTGCCGGAGTAGGGGGCCCCTCCACTGCCGATCAACGCGCCGCTGCACGTCAGGGCCCACGACACCTCGGACGGATAGCTGCCGCCACCCACAGTGACCTGGAAGTCGATTGATGGCGACGTATCGATGTCAACCTCCCCAGAGCCAATCTCCCCAGAGCCAGTCTCGCCCGAGCCAGACGTGTGGACTGATGGTGCACATGCCAGCGGGAGCAGCGCGGCGAGAATCAGCAGCCACGCGCCACGCCTCGCCCCCGTCCGGCACCGCACGAGGCGCCCCGAGCTGCTCCTCCGCACCGAGAGCACGCCGCCGCACGCTCCGAGCAGCACGAACAAGGCGGCCCAAAACTGACAGCGCTGCTGGGTGCGGACAGGCGCGGAAGAGGAGGGTCCGCTCATGAAGGGAAAGTGGAACGGGGAGGGCAGGTCGATGGAGAGCTCGTCGGTGAGTGCGTGGTGAGGCTCCGCATGCCACGCAACGGGGGCGGCGCAGCGTGGCTGCCGGTCGGCGCACACACGTGAGACGGAGGAGATATCGGACTGGACCGAGTTCGAATCGGAGATCTGAGCGGCACGGACCTCTGCAGGCCATGCCGGCTCCGCGAGAAGAGGGTCAATGGCCCGGCCAAGCTGGAGGAAGAGATCCTTGGTTGTGGCTGGAGAAGCGGTCGCCAATCTGTTCACCCGCCACTCGCCGCCGGCGTGCATGCTAGAGACGGGCGCGCCGAGGCCAGTCTCAACCAGCTTCTCGGGCGTGTTCCCAGCGTCGGCGGACCGCATCTCGGGCGACGTGCCGTTCACGGGCAGGACGGTTTCGCGAACGATGATCCCCGATCTGCTTCTGTAGACGGGACCGATAGAGTCGATCTCGGGCTCGCCCTTGCGCTCCATGCTGTTGCGCGAGGCCGGGACGGTCTCCAAATCGGCCTCGGCCTACTCGCAAACAGGCAATCGTTCCGTCAGCGGGTTACAAAGCTCGCACATAGAAACAGCCAGAGGGGCGCTCACCGGCTGCTTCTCGTAAAGGTCCTTGACGGACACCGGCGGCTCGCCAATCGGGTGCAACGGCTCGCCCACCGCCTCGTCGATCTCTTCCATCAGTGCTCCCCACGAGCGCCCGTCCTCGTGCCCGCCCTGATCAGCGCGCGGGCTGTTAGTCACGAGCTTGCGCGGTGGGGATACTAGCACGCGCGAGCGAGCGCGCACCGGGTGGTTGGCGGGCGCGCTGTCCGACGACACGATGGCTACAAACGAGCTGGCGTCGTTGCCGCCAACCTCGCAGAAGCCGTTGGGCGATGCCGGCGTGAACGGCTTTGCGACGGTCGCGAGAGGCGATGTCGGCCACGGGGAGTCGTTCCGCTGCGAGGAGAGAAGCGCGGCGGTGGCAGAGTACGAGGAGTGCGCAAACCCGGCTCCGAGGCAGAACAGTGCAAGGATGCCAAAGAGGCGGAGCAAGTTGTAGGACTTGGGCCACGGGAACCGGCCGGCGGCAGAGCCCTCGGGCGTGGTATTCGTGGTCGTCTCGACGTCGACCGTCGCGCCCTGAACAAGAGGGCGCGAGACTGGCCGTGTGAGAGCGGCGAGCGAGGGAGGAGGCCGCATAAATGCAGGCGGCGCGCACCGAGTCTGCGGTCGGCGGCGTGGAGCCGCCGGTCACCTTGCCGGTGCCACCGAGGATGCCCTCGTTGCCGTCCGTTCCGAGCAGGGCCCCGAACCTGTTCTTGCCGCCGACCGGGGTGATGCTCTTGGTGCGGACGATCGGGGCGGACGCGCCCTTGCGCCCGTTCTTGCGGCGCGGGTTCGACGGGGTGGTCCAGTCGGCGATGCCCTGCGCGCGCGCAAACGGTGGGTGCGTCATAGTTGGGGCTCCGCGTGTGCACCGCAGCGTGCGAGGCGCACTGAAGAGGGGGGCTCCTCCGCTGGAAACTCCTTGATCGACGGCAGCGGCGCGCCGCCGGCGGTGACCGGCTTGAAAGCCGGCGCGTCTTCGGTGACCGGCTTGAGAGCCGGCGCTTCTTTGGTGCCGTTGGGGGACGTCGGCGGGTCAAGCTTGGACCAGAAAACGGCGTTCGGGCTCGGCTCGTGGGCGGAGAACATGGCCGTGGCCTTGCCCGAGTCGACCTTGTCCGCGGCGGGGTCCTTTTCCGCGGCCGGGTCCTTCTTGAGGGTGCTCTCGTCGAGGGAGGCCTCCGCGCCAGACTTGGCCTCGGGGACGCCCTTCACGACGTCATTCTTATCGCACGCCTTGAGGGGGAATGGGGAGCGTGCTTGAAGGAGAGGTGGAGATCTGCGACACGCGCACACACGCACCGCCTTGGCTCCGAGGGGCGGCGCGGAGAAGACGTCGGCCGGCATGATGCCGACCTTCCCTGCCGTCTTGTTCTCTGCCATGATGTTGATCGAGTTCACTCGTACCTATGAAGGGGGCGGTGGATTGGGTGGGGAGGTGCAGTGCCGGGGAGGGTGGGAGGTGGGTTGAAGCCGCATGACGGCGGCGGCGGCGGCGGTGGCGGCGGCGGTGTGGCGGGCGCCGGCGGCGAGGGCGGTGCCGTGGCGAGGGCGTGGAGACGAGGCCGGCAGCAACGGGCGGCGGCGACGGCGGGGGACGGGGCGGCTGGAGAGTGAGGTGCAATGCAGCCGCGCACGGCATAGGCTGGCCGATGGCAGCGAGGAAGGCAGGCAGGGCGGATGGGGGCGAGCCTCGTTGGCGACGCCGGCGGCGCAGTCCTTCTTCTCCGCCTTGGTCGGCGCCTTGTTCTTCTCATTCTTGGCCTCGTGCTGCGCCTGAGGCGCGCGGGCTTCGGTCATGAGCGAGGATGGCGCGTGTGAGGCGGCGGTGAGAGCGGCGGCGAGAGCGGCGGCGGCGAGGGCGGCGGCGGCGGCTTAAAGGCGGGGTCGGGAGGTGGCCAACCGAGCGGACAAGCGCCATGCAATCCACGGCAGGCTCGGCGACGGCGGACTTGGTGGCGGACTCCTCGGCGGCGGCGGACTTGGTGGCGGAGGACTCCTCGGCGACGGCGGACTTGGTGGCGGACTCCTCGGCGGCGGCGGACTTGGTGGCGGAGGACTCCTCGGCGGCGGCGGACTTGGTGGCGGACTCCTCGGCGGCGGACTTGGTGGCGGACTCCTCGGCGGCAGCAGACTTGTTGTCGGACTCCTCGGCGGCGGCGGACTTGGTGGCGGAGGACTCCTCGGCGGCGGCGGACTTGGTGGCGGAGGACTCCTCGGCTGCGGCAGACTTGGTGGCGGACTCCTCGGCGACGACGGCCTCCTCAGTGGCGGACTCCTCGGCGGCGGACTCCTCGGTGACTGCCTCCTCGGACTCCTCCTCGGTGGCGGACTTGGCGGCGGCCTCCTCGGTGGTCGCCTTCTTGGTGGCCGCCTCCTCGGCGGTCGCCTCCTCGGTGGCCGACTCGGCGTCCTCCTCGGCGGCGGCGGACTTGGCGGCGAGCTCCTCGGCGGCGGCGGACTTGATGCCGCACGCCTGGGTGAGGGGAGAACACGCAAGTGTGCGGAGACAGGGAGACCGTAGAGATGATGACAATCCTGGCGTGCGCACACTCACCTCGGCTCCGAGGTGCGACGGCGGCGACGACAAGTAGATCTCGTCCACATCGCCGTCGGGCTTGGCCGTGTCCACTGCGGGCTTGGGCGCGGCCTTGACGTCGTCCTTGACGCCGCACGCCTGTGGGCGAGAGCGGACGCAGCTGTTCGGAGACGGGGAGATTGCACGGAATGTGCTCGTGGCGTGCGCACACTCACCTCGGCTCCGAGGAGCGAAGGCGACAGCGACGTGATGCCGACAGGAGCCGTCGGCGCAGACTCGGACGGGACGTCATTGCCGTTGCCGATGACGTCATTGAGCGACGCGGGCTCGCTCTTGGACGAGATGCCGTCGTGCTTGCCTCCGGCAGAGTCGATGACGGACAAGGGCGGCGACGGAAGTGGCGGGCACGAGGTTTTGTCGACGGTGAACGTGAGGCGCCGAGAGGTCTCGGCGCCGGCGAACGATGCGCCTACCGACGCCGCAAACACGACGCCGACGTACTCGAGCGAAACAGGCTTGCCCTCGGACGGGATGACGTCCTCGAGCCAAGCGGGCTCGCCCGACGGGATGACGGACGGGATGACGTCCTCGAGCGAAGCGGGCTTGCCCTCGGACGGGATGCCGGTGGCCTCGCCTCCGGCAGCGTTGACGGTCGTGTTGCAAGCCAGCGACGCCTGTGTCAGCCAGAAGGCCAGAGGATACGTCTTGCAGGTGGGAGCGCATTGTCACGTGCGCGAAAGCACAAGCCTGCTTGTCAGCAAGCGGCGGCGGCGGAGGAGAGAGCTTGAGCACGAGCTTGTCACCGGCGGCCGGCACCAGCTCGCGTTTGAGCTTGTCGAGCATGTTGATCGAGTTCCTGCAGCGCGCGGGGGTATGCACGCCAAAGAGAGTCGATAGATGCAGCTCATGAAGAAGGCTGTGTGACGGGTTCATGTGAAGGCTGTGTGAAGGACAACGTGTGGAAGTAAAGTGCTACTGGTTGGAGTTACTGGAGACTGTGCAGAGCACCACTATTATTACTGGTCACTGGAGACTGTGCAGAGCACTCCTATTATGACTGGGGACTGGAGACAGTGCAGAGCCACTAGACTGTGCAGAGCACCATTATTATTACTGATTACTGGAGACTGTGCAGAGCACTCCTATTGTGACTGAGGACTGGAGCCTGTGCAGAGTCCTGCTGCTGCTGGTTACTGGAGACTGTGCAGAGCACTACTATTATTACTGGGGACTGGAGACTTGTGCGGAACACTCGGCGAACGGAGAGGTCAGCACCTACGGGATCATGACCATGTGAAAGAGGGTCAAAAACTGCTATGGAGATGTCCAGGGGGTATATGGGGTATATGGGGGTATATGGGCGTGTGTATGGGGGTATATGGGGAGGAAGGAGAATATCTCGAGGAATCTCCGAGAATGGGATCAATCGTCGCAATCTCCACCCCGCCGCCCCCCCTCCCCCAGCCCCCCCCCCCCCCCCCACACGCCCTCCCCTCCCCTTCGAGCCTCGCCTACACAGACAAAAAGAAATACGCGTGGGGGTTTGCTATGAAGGCAGAGGCCATGCTCAGAGAGAGAGAGAGAGAGAGAGGGTCGAGCCAGGTCACTGCCACACCTACGGGCAGCACGCCTCGGCGTTAGCATCGCGACGACCGGCACACTCTCTCGTGTCCTCGGCGCTAGGACTGGAGCCGGGCAGCGATTGGCAAGCGAGCGGGCTGCGTCGCTCTCTCGCCGGAAAAGAGTGGGGGCAATCGGGCGGGTTCGCTCAGGGTGGGGAACGAGCGGCAGCGGCCGCGTCTCGCGGCTCCCCGATGGCAGCAGCCTCACCTGCGAACGGGAGGTGGCAGGGATTGTGAGGCCGAGGGGGCGTAGCCGCTCGGGCGCCAAATCGAAGCGCATCGCATGGTGGGAGCGGAGAGGGAGCGGCGGGTTGCGTGAGCAGGAGGCGTCGCGCCGCTCGGGCGTGCAGCTCCCCGCGGCCATATGTGCGTCGACGCGGCGGGGCAAGCGCGAGCGGAAGGCGAGGGTTGGACCTGTGGACCGTCGGCGAGTCGAGGGGAATGTGACGCGCGCTTTTGGATATCTACATGGAAGGACACCGACATAGCCAGCCGAACGCCCCGCCTCGATCAAAAAGAGCGCCTTCGGCACTACTCTCTCGAGGTCTCGCGGATCTTATAAATCAGCCGAACGGCCAAGGGCAACCCCGCAAGACTAACTACTAAAACAAACACGGGCGCGGGCAAGTACTAGCTAGGTAGAAAGGTGAAGAACAGCCAGGCTCGGACTGGACACTAGCTAGCCGGGTCGAACACTTTTTTTAACAAACACTGCCCAAACAAATAAATTCCCCCTTTGAGCTGAGAGGTTTGGGGATTCGCTCCGAGCGACGGTCCAACGAGAATCGTCAAAATCAGGCAATCAAGAGACCGGTAGCCACCAGCATGTCGGTGCGTCTTTCTCATGCTCCCGCGCCCCCCCCAGCGCCCCCCGCGCCCGAACTAGAGAGAGAGATTTTTAGCAATACCAAACAATTTTGTTTGTTCCGAACTATGCACGGGCCCGGCTCGCCCGCTTGGGGATCCACCCGGCACATCCCCGCCCCCCACCTTCCGGCTTACCTGCCGTCAGTTAGGTAGGTAGGTAGAAAGGTGAAGAACAGCCAGGCTCGGACTGGACACCAACGCGGTATGAGTGGACGCTGGACAGATGATGACGACACGCACGAGCGATTGATTGATGGGAAGGCGAAACACAGTCCGACCAACGACTGGGACACCAACGCGGTATGGGTGGACGCAGGACGGGCGATGACGGTCACACAGGAGCGACACACAGAACCACAAGACAAGACACTCAGCCAACAGGGTGGCTGCCACACATCCTGAGCGAACTTCCCTAGTCACCCGCGGCCGGACTCCATCCGGCACGCGTCGCTGGGCGCTCAGAGCCGCGTCCCCTGCTCGCCACCCCGACGCCCAAGGCGCCCGAGCGAACGACAGGCGGCACGCGAAGACTGGTTGCAATCCCGCCGACCGCCAGGCCGCGGGATGATGTGTGCGTGGTCATGTAGTGGGTCTCGGAAGCTCCCCTCTCGGGCTAGGAGTCAGCCCCTCTCCCTTGCCCTCGGAACAGTGTGTCCGAGTCGAGGCGTGTGCTTGCCGGTCCACGGCCGCGCGCGGTTGGCATTGTGACGAAGGTTGCGCAGGCCTAGTCTGGCCGATTTTTTGCGGTATCTTGATGTATCTCTCCATATCTGACCGTATCCCGCCATATCCCGCCATATCCCGCCATATCCCGCCATATCCCGCCAGCCTCACGCCGTCGCAAGGGCCGCCCAAGCGCCTAAGCACCCTAAGCACCCCCCGCTTAGGCCGCTTAGGCGCTTAGGCGAGCGACGGCCGGTCATATCCGCGTGTATCTCCCGGTATCCCGCCATATCCCGTTCCGAGAATACTTACGGAATACAAGGGGGGTGGCGAATACGTCAGAAGTACGTACGGAGATACGAAATACAAGGGGGGTGACGAATACGTCAGAAGTACGTACGGAATTACGGAATACAAGGGGGGTAGCGAATACGTCAGAGGTTGTACGGAAATTCGGAATGCAACGGGGGCGAATACGTCAGAAGTAGTACGTAGGGGCGCAGCGGCGGGCAGACGCGTGGTTAGGCGCTCGGGCGGGCAACCGTGCGAGATGACCCGAGATGACCCGAGATGACCCGAGATGACCCGAGATGACCCGAGATGACCCGAGCGACACACAGACACAAACAAGCTCACAAGAAACACAGCCGGCGGGCTGCCACACACACCCTGAGTTGGCGTACACATAACCCGACTGAGTTGGCGTACAAACGATACCCGACAAGGGCGACGGGACCCCTGCCTCTAAGGCTGAGCGGAAGGGCTACTACGCACACGTCAACAAGGGACACATCCCAGACCTGATCCGCTTTGGCTCCACGACCACATGCTGGGAGTTCAAGTGCTACGCTCCGTTCCTCCCCTCCGGCGCAAAGGGTAACGGCTCTGCCCGCTGCGGAGGCGCTGCCTCCCGTGCCGATGGGCACTTCATCGCGCTTGGCAACACTGAGGAGCACCTCTCCGTCGTCGTTCTCGGCCACCCCCAACGGGGTGACCCGGCCACGGAGGAGCAACTGGACCGTGTCAGCGGCGACGGATGGGTGGCAGCGAAGGACGGCGATTACGCTGACGCCCTCGCCAAGGGCCACGCGGTCATCCTCCTCGTGACCGAGTCGACCGGAGCATTCTCCGCCGACCTCGATCGCGTCCTCCGCCAGCTTGCGAGGACCGCACGCGCTAGTGGGTCCATTGACCACACGCCGTATGGTACCTCTCGCGCGTCCACCCGCTCACACTACACCTTCCACTCCGCCGCCATCTCCGCCGCCATCGTCACCGCCGACGCCCTCACCATTCAGAACTCGGCCGCCGCCCTCGGATTCGAGCTCACCCTCGACCCTCGCGATCTCGCCCGGCGCTCGTCGTCGGGTCGGCCGCCATTGGCTAGTTCCATTTCACTCTGACACGCTAATCTTGAAAACGTCCAACGGAGCTCCGTGTTGCTCCCAGCGCCCTCCCCCGCGCTTCCTGCGGCCATGGCCGATGATACTAGTATGAGAGGTCATCTGGCTACCGCGAGCGCGACTCAACTCGCCGACGTCGTCCGATGATTGTGCCTCAAAGTCAGCCTCCGGAGGCTATCGTGGGGTCGAGCCGGCAGTAGCCGTGACATGTGGTTCCACCACCCCTCGTATGCTTTGCCTCTGACCGCCACCGTTCCCAGGCTGCCAAATGGGATGGAAAGGAAGGCTCGGCGAGCGTATAGAAGCGTGCTCGACCTCGTCGTGGCAACCTGCACGGCAGCCCTGGTAGGCGCGATGAGCGTCGTGCCACCTGACCCGAGACGGGTCGCAGGCGTCGTACCGAGCGCGTCGAGACCGTGTCCTGATGTGATCTGCACGGGTGAGTCACGTCGGCGTCAAAGGAGCGACGTGCGACCTGTCAGAGCTTGATCTCCGATCTCAGCGGCGTCGAGTCGTCTCCGGCGCGCGACAAAGGTACATCCCCAGGACGCGCAGAGGCAGCTGCGACCCAGCGGAGTGGACGGTAACGCACCGCGCCACCTGCTGTGCGTTACCGTCCACTCGGCGGGGTCGCAGCTGCCTCTGGAAGGCACCGAGATGTACCTTTTTCGCGCAATGGTCAAAATCAAGGTTTTGTAACGCGAGCTGTGCCACAGTGAAATGGAACTAGCCATTGCGGTCGGCGCCACCACCTCGAGAGAGAGAGAGAGCCTTTCGGGGCCCAGAGATAAAACTTCTGTGATGCCATGCGTGACCTAGTAGTGTCCCCAGCTATGGGCGTGTCCACGTTGGAGCCAGGTGTGGTGTGGGCGCGAGAATAGCTCCGCCGTTCATGGAGGCAACCGATGCGAGTCGACTGGTGTGTGTCGTCGTGGTTTCGTATCAAGAATTCTCTCTCTCGCCACCACCTCCTCCCGCCCCCCCCGCAGCCACCGCCGCGCGGCCGCCAATGCGACCGACCCCACCCTCCTTCCCCGACCCCGCCCTAGACGCCCCCGACAGCGAAGCCCGCGCCGCGCGCGGCACCACCACCGACTCTACCTCCGACCCCAGGGCCTAGGCGGCCCGCCATATGAAATCTAGCCGTGTGTGCTGGCGTCCGGGTCCCAGCGGGTTTTCACGTAACAAGTACACACATAACTCCCTCACAGCCGACCTTCTGGTCGCACGCGGGTTCTTAAGGGTCGCACATGCCCGCCATGACGTCTTCCAACCGGCCGAACGCAGGCGGGAGCTTACCACGACCCCGACAACTCCGAGAATGACCCGCACGATAAAGTGCGCGCGGCGGCGCACTTTTTTCAGCAGGCTGTGACTGCAGCCCTGGCCACCCTGGCCTCCCTCGAGGGGTCGCCAGGACCCGCCGCGGCCCTGGCGCGGCCCACGGGCGGCTTGATGCTCATCAACGCCGTTCACCCTGGTCGGCCTGGCCGGAAAATACGCCAGCCGCTCGGGTGCCGCCCGCCTCCTAGAGGCCGAACCACCAGTGCTGTGAGTATTGACGCCCTCCCTGCACCTCAGGCGCGGCCCTCGCCCCCGCCGCCGCCGTCGCCCCCTCTGCCGGCGCCTTCTCCGCCCTCGCCACCCTCTCCCCCCTCCCCTTGGGCCCAGCCTCTGCCTCCCCGAGAGCGCGCACCGGCCGGGCACCGGCCGCGCTCTCGACTAGAGGGGGAGGGGCCAGCCGCGCTCTCCCCCTCCGCCGCCGCACGAGACTCGCCTGCAGCGGGGCGAGGGCAGAGGCGTGAGCTGATCATACCCGAGGGTGGGGGCTAGGTTGTTGATGCGAGGTTTGGCTGGTGCGGTTTAGATGGGCTGGGCGGGTGCGAGGCACGGGAGAGGCAGGGGGAGCCACATCACACCTGCTATTCTGCGAAGGTGGCGGCGAGGGGGGTGGTGACGGTGGTGGAGGTGAGGGCGGGGCGGCGGTAGAGAGGGCGGGCTGGGTGGCGGCGGGCTGGGTGGCGGCGGCGTCGGAGGCGGCGGCGGTGACGGCGGCGGTGGGGAGGGCGGCGGAGACAGAGGCGGAGGGCTTGGAGGCGGCGACTTTGACTTCTTCAGGTGCACTGGGCCTCTTCTGGTTCTCATCTTCATCGCTAGACGGCGGCGACGGTGAGGGCAAGGCTGAGGGGGTGGAGGGCGCGGCGGCGAGAGGCGAGGGGAGGCGGCGGCGAAGAGCGTGGCGGCAGTGGCGTGTGCGACAACGGCGGCGAGGGTGGCGGCACCGCGCTGCGGCGGGCCAGCGCGCCCCGTGTCCTCCCCACGCCGCCTCCAAACCAACCCCCGTCACACGCGGGATGAGAGGTGAGCGACTGCTCCGTGTAGGATGAGGGTGGGCCGCGGCGCGTCACCTGGCCTCACGCTCGTCCACATAGCCGGGCAAGCCGTGCGTCAGGCTGCACTCATGCAGTGCCGCGGCTCGGCAATTGCGGGGTTGAGTCGGCGGTCGGCCCTGCGGCCTCGCGCGCCGGCGTGCACGGGGCGCGCGACGTGGGACGCGCGGCCGGCGGCGAGAGGCGGAGGAGGGCGCCGGGCGGGCGGAGGGGGAGGGCGAGGGGTGGCGGCCGAAGGGATGGATTGCTCGAGACTCCTCTGGGGTGTGACTTGTTTGACCATGACCGCCCCCACATCGATACGAATAGGGGCTGTTCACAAAGGATCAAAAACGTGCGACCATGATTCACATCTCCATGATCGTCTGGGCTCTCTGCATGCTGCAGAGCGTGTCCGCATTCTCGCTCCCGACCCAAGCAGTGAGAACATGGTGTCCGCATTCATTACTCCGGAAATTTTCGGCGAAGAAGAAGCGGGGGCACTGGCGGCACGCCTGGACCGGTCCAAACCAGATCATGTTCCGGGGATCATGTTCCGCTGAGGCGAGAGCAGCAGCCGACGTCCAATCTCTCTACTAGGGCAGCTGGCCGTGACAGCGTTTGTTGCAGTTTTTGGCGGGTTTTGCACCAGCCACCACAGACTTAGTTTTTGCAACTAGTCAAAATGGGTTGAAATCGCTCAGACCTCAGTGTCATTCAACACTACTGTCTACTCTGGTGGGTCTTGTATTACACAGCGAATATTGACCGCATCGGCGCGCGGAGAGCATCTCCACTCTCGCGCCAAATACATGCGTGTTGCTGCGCGGCGCGCTCCTTCGGCGTGTGGCCGCGTTCCCGACAACGATCAGGCATGCACAGGCTGTCATCACACATCAGCAGACTTTCGGGTCTCAGCCGGGTCTGTACGAGCAGCCATGCCGTGCCAGCTGCGCGGGACTCTCTGCGTCTCTCGGAGCCGTCGGATTGCATGCTG